ATCGAACCAAATATGTTTAGAAGGGTATTGTGTGAGTGCTATTGTCTGGGTTTACACAAACGGCTGAACAGTTCAAGACATCACGTTCACTGATTAGCCAAGTAAATCCAATAGTATTCCACTATGGAAGGTTCAAGGCCAAAAGCTACCTATCCAGATGCAGTATTCTTCTAATAAGGACTCTCTCTAGTGTCTTCATTTTTTGCATGTTGTTGAGTCAATTTCCATTCATGTGGGGGATTGTTGGAAAATTTAATATTAACTAATATTGATTTTCCTATTTGAATGGAAATTAATAAAATCCATTGGGTTAAAGACATGACCCTTGGGTTAAAGACATTTTCACATGGGGAGTAACAACTCTTCAAACTAGGGGATGCATTGTTTGGGGTGACAACTCTTCAAACCAAGGGATGCATTGTTTGCCTTTTCAGATTGAGATACCTTTTTAGAAAGGGTATTTCATCATCTATAAATAGAGCAATCCTCTTGCAGTTTTATAAATTCAGTTTAATTCTCTATATACAGACTTTCACATATAGAAAGCATTAGAGTTTTCATAAAGAGAGGTTCCTGCATAATTTGGTTCAAAGTTCCCTGTGAATTGCAGTGCTTCTTTCACAAGGAGGGGAGTCGTTGTATCCTGGGAGGCGAACGCTAGTAAACCATAAGCACCAGTGTGGGGCGTAATTCGTCTTAAGGTCAGAGTGTCCAACACTTGCCTCGACTCAATTAAGGTTCTTCTAATTCAATTCTCCTTTTGTAAAAATCTGTTTTATGTGCAGTATTTATTTTGTTTATTTTATAGCAATTTAGCACTCATTTTCCAACATGCCCCTTGTAGACTTAAAAGAAAAATCTGAAAAGCCTTAAATTAATTAAATAAATAAATCCGAAGAGCCTTGTTGAGGCCCAAAAATCTAAGGGGCTAAGCCCAAATTAACCCTTAGCCCAATATGGGTGATTGGATGCAAAATAAGCTCAATCGGGATAAAAGAAAATTTATAAGAGCCGCCAACACAAGCTACAAGCCACAAATCATGCCAAACAAGCACGTGCAGAAGGAGCCAAGAACATACTGATATTACTAAATCACGCTCACATGCTCATTCGGTGCTACTTGGCCCAACTATAGCCTATCATGGCATAATAAAACCCCAAGCACGAGCATAGAAATCATGCGCATTCTAATACCGAGCTACGTCACGAGCTTAAGTGGGCCCAAGCCACAAAATTAACCGGGGCTTATTGATAAGGTTGTGGTATGGAAGGAAACAAGCAATCACGGGCCCATTGAGGGTTCAAGGAACGTAGGTTTCAAAGCCACTTGGGGGCTTTGGAACTCAAGCCCGTTCCTAGAACCCAAGCATATGGGTTAGCATGAAAGAGAAGAGAAAAAAATTGCCCCATGCTCTAGGAAGACACCAAAAACCCACCAACATGCTTAGCCCAACCCACATCAATAGAGTTAAAAGCCCTTTCCAGCAGTTTGACAAAAATTCACTAGAAATAATAGGCCAGCAGCCCAAAAGTCACGCACAAAGCCCAGTCCAGCAGCTTATACAAAAGCTGTCATCGTGTTCCACCCCTGATAAGACTCCAAGCAAGTCAGACAAAGGGTCAAGGCAAGAGTCAGCAGAAATTCATGGGTAAAGGGCAAATACCCATCAGACAAAAGGCTCCACCCATCTCCTTCCCCATTACAAGCTCTGTTTTGAAAACACTGAGAGAAAGCAAAGTGGCGCCTCACCGTTGTGGGGAGTTCCAGCTGCGTCAAACTCGTTGGAACCACAATGGTTCCTTTCCCATATGCCTTGATAAGAGAATTGCACGAAAATAGGACTAAGTAGGAGCTGCCAAGAGAAAAGGAAGAGGAAGACCAGACAAAATTAGGGCTCTTAACGCCTATAAAAGGAGGCTTTTGCTACCCAGAAAATCCATCCAGAGCCTGACCAAGCTTTGTCAAGCAATCTGGAATTTACTCAAGCCACCCAATCCTCTTTCTCCGTTGTTTTCTTCTTTCCCTGAGATAAAACCTTGCTAAGTTTTCCTTCGTTCTCAGTTTAGATTTTATCCTCTGTAAGAAATTCATGCTGTTCTCTCTCTCTCAAACTGCTAAACTCGTGAAAGCTTAGCTCCCATGCCACATGCTCCTCAGGCTAAGTCATTAGCGAAATCATCACGCTTATTTGGGTGTTAGTAAAGTGATCCTGAGAGTGTTCTTTTAAAATCCCATCAGTTTTTCTAAAAACTCTCTTGGGAGCTTGGTTTCGAACTCAGGCATTTGGGGGATTTCACTAGTTTTTTTCTTACAGTAGCCCAGGCCCATTCGTCAGGCTGCTGGAACAAAAAACCCCCTACATAAATTGGCGACTCTGCTGGGGAACAAGCTGCCATTTTACTATTGCCTCCAAAAAAGAAAACCAGGAGCAATACCATGGCCTCCCAAGATGGACCCGACCATGGTGATTCTGAATCAAGGCAAAATGCTTCCTCTAGAGGACAAGAACATGCAAGTGAGGAAGCCTTCACCCTCACTGATCTCATCACAGCTATGCAGGCCATGGGGGAAACCCAGAAGGAGATGATGGACACTATCAAAGAATTAAAAAATGCTGCTTCCAAGCCAAGCGAAGAGGATAGATGTCCGCAAGAAGAATCTGCCGCTGCTGGAAAGGGGTCTGAACAAAGGGGACCGTCTTTTGTCACCCAGGAGGATGTCGTTGCCATGCTGGAAAAGGAGCTTAGTCGAAGCCAGGAGGATTGGAAGTACATTCCTCAGCCACCGTACCCAGCAAGTTTACTCCAGCAGCCCTATCCTAAAGGTTACGAAACACCAACCTTTGTTCTCTTCGATGGGAGGAAAGGAAACCCGAAGGAACATGTCAACCGATTCCTTGATGCTTTGGGGCCACACGCCGGTGATTATAATCTGCGACTCCGAGAATTCTCAAAGAGCCTCACCGATCGGGCTTATACATGGTACATCACATTGGCACCAGGCTCTATACGTTCTTGGGACGATTTGGCAAGCAGGTTATGTAAAAAATATTTTCAGCACGAGGAGAGGGTTACCACCACACAGCTCAACAACACTCACCAAAAGCAAGGGGAGGATCCCGTGGACTTCGTGAGAAGGTTCCAGGACTTGGCTCTCGATTGCTATGACGAAAAAGATGAGGAGGCACTTGTTGAGATTTGCATCAGCAACATTGTGGCAGACTATAAAGTATACTTGGAAAATATTGGCATCAGCCAATTTTCCCGGCTGCTGGAAGCAGTAAGAAAGACAAGCATGTCTCTCAAACCGACTGGACAAAGGGGCTGGAGGAGTGAGAAGAAGGAATCACATCAGGTGTTAGCCACGGATGAGAAGCCATCTAATGACTACAGCTCACGCAAACGAAAAGATAGGGAGACGTACCCGCCATTGCCTTGCAAAGATGAAGAGTTTCACGCCATCCTTGACACAATGATTGCTGACGGCGCAATCAAACCTCTTAGGCCCTACAAGGTCCCCACCAGGGAAGAAAAAAGTGATCCCAGATACTGTCGCTACCACCAATTTGTAGGACATCCGACCATCACTTGTCAGAGTTTAAGGAGGATCTTACATGGCAAAATACATGAGGGAGTTCTTGAGCTTCCCTCTAGGAAGCAGGCTATTGATAAGGACCCTTTGCCAAAACGAAGGGGGAAAGAAACAGCTACTGTTATTACTTGTTCAGATGATTTGCTCGACGATGACGAATTGTGCCACCCATGGAGGAATGATCCAAAGCCACCAGAGGCTATTTGGGAGCCTTGTGGAAACATGGATAAAGCTTACTGGTGCAAATACTCGAAATCGTCAAGCTACGACACGCCATGGCCACTCGCTGATGGATGGGATGGCTGTGCAGACAATGGGGTGTTCATGTTGGACATGCCGGAAGGACAATGCCAGAGAACCTCATCCGGACAGCAAGAAACGTCTGCTGTGACATTTCACACCCTTATAGAAGCTGAGGCGACTGTAATGGAGCAATATCTAGGCTCGAAGCAAGGACCCACAGCTTCACAAGTCCTCCAGAGGAATCCTAGAGTTAAGTCACTCTTTGACCAACTTGGTTTTGGGCCTCAAGCGAGGGAAGCAGCTGCTGTAGCCCTTATGAATATTTCTGCAGGAGCCAACCCCCATTGCTTCACTGCTCAACCTCAAAGGTCATTCTTGGAAAATGACAATGCTATTGTTTTCACAGACGAGGACATGGAAGTTCCATACCCGGATCATAGGAGGCCACTTTACCTGGAGGGACAAATCAATGATGTGTTCATACGGAGGGCTCTGGTAGACACAGGTTCTTCTGTTAACATCTTGCCTCTGTCTGTACTTACAGCAGCCGGTATTCCACTATCCAAGATTGTGCAGTCCCAAACGAGCATTAGCGGTTTTGGGAATCAAAGTGAGGTTACGGTTGGATATATGCAAGTAAATTTGAAGGTAGGGCCCATCCGGTCACTTACCAAGTTCTATGTGGTGGACGTAGATGTGGCTTATCATGCTTTGTTGGGAAGGCCATGGCTCAACAAACATAAACTTGTGGTCTCTACGTACCATCAATGTGTAAAAGGAAGAATTGGGCTAAGACCACTCCGTATACCAGGGAATCAAGCACCGTTCAATCAAAGCGAAGCTCACTACTCCGAGGCAGAATTCTACACTGAGTGCACAGGCGCCGGAAGCAACCCATCCAAGAATTCTGGGACTTACCTGCCATCGTGGACCGAGATTCGTGATCTAAGCAACGAGGAGCTCATAACCATCGTCGATCAGAAAGAAAAAAGGCACTCGGAGGCCAACAACCATGCCTACGATCATCCTCAATGCTCAAAGGTTACGCTGCCAGATGGGCGCACTGTATATCGCTTATGACGGGATTGGGGGTTTGACCGTATCCTACGGGAAAGCCCCGAGTATGGTGGAGAAGCTATGCAAGCAGACAGCCGCGGGAGTCTAGATGGCAAGGCAACCCTTGCCTTGTCCTTTCCAAGAACCAATGACAGCACCCAAGCACATGCAAGATGGCTCAACGGCAGTAGCTGAGCGGTTGGAAACAATTAATTTAAGTGATGACCCCTTTGTCCCAAGACCCATCTCTGTCAGTGTTCATTTAACGGAGGAAGAAAGGGAAGCTTTGGTGTCGTTGTTGAAAGAATTTCGAGATGTGTTTGCTTGGAGTTACGAAGAGATGCCCGGCCTTAATCCAAACTTGGTAAGTCATACGCTGAATATTGAGTTCGGTGCAAGACCTGTTGTACAACCACGAAGGAATTTTCATCCTGAAATTGAGAAGCAAATCAAGGTGGAAATTGAAAAGCTGCTAGCCGCTGGATTCATCAAGCCAATCAAACACCCGACCTGGCTAGCAAATATCGTACCCGTGAAGAAGAAAACTGGGGTAATCAGAATATGCACAGACTACCGTGATCTCAATCGAGCCTGCCCAAAGATGAGTTCCCGCTGCCCAACATGGATATCTTGATTGATTCAACCTCGGGTCAAGGCATGCTATCCTTCATGGACGGATTTAGTGGCAATAATCAAATCAAGATGTCTCCCAAGGATGCCAAGAAAACAGCCTTTCGAACACCCTATGGAAATTTCTACTACACGGTCATGCCCTTCGGTCTCAAGAATACCGGTGCTACCTACCAACAGGCCATGACGGCAGTGTTTCATGATATGATGGGAAAAGAGGTGGAAGACTATGTGGATGACCTCGTAGTAAAATCCAAAACCAGAGAAAGTCATCAGGGAGTTCTGAGGCGTGTGCTGGAAAGGTGCCGGCTGTATGGGTTAAAAATGAACCCAAAGAAATGCGCATTCGGAGTCTCATCCGGCAAGTTCCTGGGCTTTCAGGTACACCAGCGTGGTATAGATGTGGATTCTGAGAAAACCAAAGCCATATGCTCTCTTGCACCACCTAAGAATCCAAAGGAGTTGAAAAGTTTTATGGGAAGATTGTCATACATTCGGCGTTTTATTCCAGGCCTTGCTGCAATGATGAGTGTTTTCACTCCTCTCCTTAAAAAAGGGAAGCCATATATATGGAGCCAGGGATGCCAAGAAGCTTACCAACAGGTACAACAACTGATCACCAAGCTGCCCACGATGAGGGCACCTATTCCAGGACTTCCACTCAAGCTTTACTTGGCTGCGACGAATGCTGCGGTTGGAGCTTTGCTTGCGCAGGATGGCCATGACGGGGAGGAAAGCCCCGTTTATTATGTAAGCCAACAACTGAGAGGAGCTGAAGCAAGGTACCCAAAAACGGAACTCTTATGCCTTGCTCTTGTCTATGCTGCGCAGCGCTTGCGACACTACTTCCTCGCTCACAAGTTACAACTCATAGTAAAGTCCGATCCCGTAAGATATCTGCTCACAAGGCCGGTATTATCTGGTCGTCTCGCACGTTGGTTATTACAGCTTTCCGAATTTGATATCATATGCACAACTCCTAAGGCCATCAAGGGACAAGCCGTGATTGACATGCTAGCTCTATTCCCCGAAGTAGAAGGATCAACCCTTTCCAAGGAAGTCCTGGGAGAGCTGCCGGAAATGGTTGCTACTGTTACAGAGGAGGAGCCATGGACCCTCTACTTTGATGGGTCTTCCACATCAAAAGGTGGAGGGGCATGTGTCGTGCTCATTAATCCCAATGGGCAAGCTACGGCTCTCTCATTCAAGCTAGACTTTCCATGCACGAATAACGTGGCAGAATACGAAGCTTTTATTGTGGGATTGTCCACAGCAAGAGAAATGGGCACAGAAAAGGTGAAGATCATCGGCGATTCGAACCTAGTACTAAGTCAATTGCAAGGAAGCTTTGCGGTGAAGGAAGCAACCTTGGCACCATATCGGACAGCTGTTGAAAGGCTCATTAATTCCTTCAAGCAAATTGTGATGGAGCACATTCCAGGAGCCACCAATAGGTACGCTGATGCTTTGGCCACATTGGGATCAAAGCACTCATTTGTGCAAGAGCAGCCCAACATCACCGTGATAAGGAGAAGCACACCAGTGGTCGAAGCAATGGCCTAGGGGGACCTGCTAGAAGAGGATGATTGGAGAAAGCCACTGTAGAAAAAATTAGGTGAAGAGAGCAGCATTAAAGACTTGAAAGATTATGTGACTATCTTTGGGGAACTCTACAGACGTCTTCCAGGAGGTGTTCTGACCCGGTGTGTTGGGATGGCAGAAGCAAGAAGGAGTTGCAAGAGGTACACGATGCCACTTGCAGCTTGGAACCATAATCAGCCTGTACCGGCGCTTGCAACGCAAATGTTATTATTGGCCAGAGATGAAGAAACAAGCAATTGAACTACAATCCGATTGTCCCACCTGTTCTACGATACCCTCTACAGAGGAGTCATTCACTGTTTCATTTGCAGAAGATTGGTGGACTCCATACTTGGCATTCTTTGTCGGAGGAACTCTGCCGACCAACCCCAAGCTTGCCTATAAGCTCAAAAAGACCATAAATAGGTATTTTGTTGATGGGTCAACTCTCTATCGGAAGGGGTTTAATGGTGAACCATTAAAATGCTTGGGAGAATCAGAAGCACGTCAAGCCATGCAAGAGATACATGCTGGAGAGTGCGGAGAGCACCAAGGAATGAAGAAGCTTCACCGGCAGCTACTAAGCATTGGGTATTATTGGCCTACCATGAAGAAGGATGCACATGACTTTGTTAAGAAATGCCACACATGCCAAATCCATGCTAATCTAAGCCACAAACCTCCTACATTGCTGCAAGACATGCGCACTCCCTGGCCTTTCCATACTTGGGGGCTTGATTTAATTGGGACAATCCATCCCCCTTCCGATGGCTACATATGGATCCTCACCGCTACGGAGTATTTCACGAAATGGGTTGAGGCAATTCCCCTTCAAAAGGCCACAGGAGCTGCTGTCTCGAATTTCATTCGGGAATACATTGTGTGTAGGTTCGGAATCCCATACAAGATGGTCACCGACAATGGCACACCTTTTGTTAACAAGCAAGTGAGTTCAACCCTTAGTGGGTACGGTATCAAGCATCGTCGCTCTACGCCTTATTACCCGCAGGGAAAAGGTCAAGCGGAGGCTACCAATAAGACGATATTGAGGATTCTAAGCAAGATGGTATATGAGTATCAAGGAGGCTGGAGTGTTCACCTGCCGGATGCTTTGTGGGCTTATCGCACCTCACCAAGGAGCGCTATAGGTTTTTCACCTTACTCACTTGTGTACGGATCTGAGGCTATTTCACCCGTGGAAATCACCATCCCGACAGCCAGGATAGCAGCTGTCAATGATCTTGAATGGGATGCAAAGACATGCTCAAATTGGCGTTTGCTAGATCTCGAAGCAGTTGATGAGAAAAGGATGAAAGCTGAAAGAAGGATGGCACTTTATAACAAGACTGTTGCCCAAGCCTATAACAGGACCGTTAAGCCTCAAGCCTTCAAGCAAGGAGATCTCGTGCTAAAAGTCGTTGAACATGTGAGAAGGCAAATGTCAGGACCTTCCAAATTTGCCCACAATGGGAGGGTCCATTCGCAGTCAAGGAGGTACACAGCAGCGGTTATTATCGCTTGATCTCTGTCAAGGAAGGCATGCTAACGGATCCCATCAATGGAAAATGGCTCAAGCCCTACTACTGCTAAGTAGGCATAATATCTTATTTTCATGTTATTGCATTTCCTTTTATCTAAAAAATGTTGTCTCCTTCTATATGCTCTTTGTTTTGAAAAGCTTTTGTATCATCATGGTAGCATGAGGTTTGAAATGAAAATGAAGGAGTATTTGAAAAAAAAATTGTCTCTGGAAGTTTGCCCTTTTTCGTACCTCGAATTTCTTTTTGAACATGCGTTTACAATTACATATAAATATACGGCGGATATATAAAAAAAAAAAAAAAAAAAGGAAAAAATATAATTAGCAAAAGACATGCCAAGCAAAGCCATTTGAATGGGATCCTAGGTCTGTAGCAGCTTTCACGCTTTGGCAAAATGAAAAGGAACAAGCCAAGCTAAGCACCCGCAAAAGGAAGCTAGAATGCTCATAAGGTCAGAGAACATTCAAAGAAAATAGGCAGAGTGTCAAAAGGCCATCCTAACAAAATTTTTGGCAACAACCACCATACTTCAAAAGGATACCCAATCTAAAAAAAAATTCAAGCAAAGGATTCTACCAACCAGGCATTTTATACATGTTAAATAAAAGTTATAATGTGTTTCTGGCAAAAAGAAAAAAAAGGGGAACATAGGTTTCGGCAGCTGGAACACAACAGCACTAAAATGCCAAGCTGCCACAGTACAAGTTTTACAACATAAGTCAAAATCAAGCTATACAGGCTAAGAAGTAATGTGTGCTTCAATCTCGAACGAAACTCTAGAATGTGTCAAGCTATTCAATCCTACACCAAGCAAAATGCGACCTGCAAAACAGAACAAAAAGGAATGTCAGGAGAAATCAGAGTAACATTGAACATATGTAGAATGAAGGAAGGACGAAAAGTCACGAACCTCAAAGTACCATCAAGGATGGCTAGAAAGGAACGGAGGAGGCCCCGTGAGAAGATCTTGTCACTGCCTCCATCACGCAGTCAGCACTGTCGGAAGAGACACCTTGGGCAGAAAGGAGGCCACGCAATTCCCTGCGCTGGTTTTCCAGTTCATGCTGCTTGAAGACCAAAGCCTCTGCTGCTGCCCTTATTTCATCAGGGCCGGGATTTGACTTCATGTTATGAACAGCCCGTGCCCCAAATGCAGCACGTGCCAAACCCTTCACCAGGTTCAGAAGAGACTCTGCTCGAAAGCCCAGAGTCATAGCCTCACAAACTGCATCCCGCCAGCAAAGGAGCCTGTGATCAGTAATGTCCAGCAGCTGCACGGTATCCATCCCATGGAGCACCAAGCCGAGGGTCCGGAAAGCAGCACAGCGCGAGAAGGAAGAGGTAATACCAGTCATGTCCCATGAAGTCCCCGTACTTGTCTAGAAATTTCTCCAAAGCTGCGACCGTCTCGGGATAAACAAGAATTCCCCGGAAGAGTGCGTAGGAGTTCATCTGCAGATCGAAGGACCTGAGCACCACTGTCAAAGAAAGCCATGAAAGCAGTAAATGATTCCTCCCACTCCAGCCAAGACATGCTACGAGGGTGTTCTGCAGCGGCATTCCCGGCGATGGTAATGATAGCCTGGGCGTTTTCAGCAGCGCTCACATTGTCACATTGAACCGCTGGAAGAAGTGCTAGGGGACTAGGCCCTGACGCCCGGAGAAGTGGTTGAATGTGAGATGGAACGAGCAGGGTTGTGTGGACGGCAAGGGTGTTGCTCCGAAAGGCTGCTGGAAAGGCTGGTGAAATGGCAGGATCAAGGTCCCTCTGGAGAAAATGCCGGAAGATAGGTGGTAAAGGGCTCGTAACTTGGAGCGTAGGCGTTTCATCCCGAGAATCCGTTGGTGTCATGGTTGGAGAGGATCCTGCAAGGGCTGCCTCGACCAGTGTATTGAATGTGTTGAAGGGAGAAGGTACTACAGGCACAATTTCCAAATTTGAAGTGACATGCTCAGCCTGCAAAAAAAAAAGGTGCATGCAAGGATTAGTACGAGATAATTGACAAGTGATGGATATTGGCAGATGAATAGGAGAAGAAGGTAAATGGAATATTATCGGTACGGATACCTCAAGGGGGCTCCGGGCAGGATCAGCAATGGCCGCAGTAGGGTTTGGGTCCTCAGCAATGTCAATAACCTGCAGGATGAGCACGCGTTGAGTGTACAGATTATGGTGTAAGGAAGGAGAGGGGGACAGAACTTAAAACGCGTCAGTTACCTGCTCAGCGCTAAAACGGCGTGTACTACTACCAGCGGACTCGAAGAAAACATCTGCACCACCTGTCCACCTGGATAGTCGCTGGAATAAGCAAATGCATCCTCACTGCAACCCTCATTGAAGTCCCTGTCAGAATCTTCACTAGCATCGTCAACGTTCTCTTGCTCTGGAACATTAGCCTCGGATTCGGTGGTGTCACCATCATCACTATCATCGTCAACTGTCACTACAGTTGGGGTTCCGGTAGCTTCAACATTACTGGTGCTTGTTCCAGAAGATCTTGCGTGTAGAATGCGCACGCTTTGACGTTTAGGGGTCACCTGAGGAGATACCGGGGGTGTGTCACTTCTATTTCTCTTTGAGGTTGTACCCATTTTCCCTATAAAAAAAAATATATGTATATAATAAATAAGTATCTACCCACATATCATACACGCAAAGCAAAAAAAGAGGGGCATGAAGAAGTACTGGAAGTGGAGAACACTTACGGCGGAGAGGGGTAGTTTCCAGCACCTTGCCAGCACGACCCCGGCTCCCGGATGCAGCAGGCTTCGAAGACTGTGGATGTTCCGGGGGAGTTGCTTCTTTGGTTCGAGAAGGGCCACTCGGGGCTACCTTCGGAATGAAGCTTTTGGGTTTACCGGCAGTCTGCTTCTCACTCACATTTTGCTCCTCCTCTCACTTCCTTTTGCCTGACACTGGCGTTGCACTTTTTCCGGAGCCGCAAGGACTCTGTACCCCCCGGTTTTGGCTTCGTCTTTGGTAGGCCTAGTAAGTCACGGACACCTGCAACAACAACAAAAAAAAACAAAAAAAAACAAAAAAAAAGAACAAAATGCGTAAGTTCCAGCACCTTCACGAATTGTTGAACGCACGCACATCTCGGTAATATCATGCCAGGACCATATCAAGAAAGAAAAAGAAGACCAATTCAATATCATCATGCAAATCTTTCCTATGAGAGGGGAAAAGATTATCTGGTGCTATAAAAAAAAAGAAAAAAAAAGAGAAAAATGAACCACAGGGGTAAATTATGCGAAGAAAGCCATGGAGTGGTTGTTCCCGTTCCTTCCACCATGCTTCGACACCATCTAGAGGTTTTGTGGTTAATCAAGGCAAGATATCGCCTCAAGCACGCTTAAAATCCCAAATTAGTGGTCTATGCCCGAAATTCGAGCTTGGGGCTTGGGAAATTAGATGAAACCCAGACTGAGAAAAGTGCCCTGTTCATGAGGAATTCTCAAAAATATAAAGGGTGCCTCCACATGTACATATATGCGTATGTATGTGTGTATGTATAGATGCATGTGCCCAGAGTAACGAGAAGTAAAAAATACAAAAAAAATAGGGGAACGATGCTTACCACTGCTACCAATGGAATTCTTCCAGCAGCTTGCCGAAGTCGAAAGAGGAGGGAACTGTCTTGCGATTCCACCGCAGAAATTGCTCCACACTTTGCCAAGTGACTTTGCTAAGCTTGGTTTGGACGGATTGAAGAGCGAATTGAAGAAATTTGAGGGATTTTAAAGAAGAATCGTGGCTTTTCCCCGATAGTTGCGAGCGGTTTCCTGAGCATAACTAACCAGCGGTTGTGGATGAGGCCTCACTGTGATTTCTCGTTTCCCAAGGGTTCTCTAGACCTATGTATGAGAAGGAACCAGCAAAAACGAAAAGGGGGCAACTAGTTTTAGGGCTCGCGCGCACAGAAGAGAGGAGTCAGAGACGAAAAGAGAAAAAAAGAAGAGAAGAAAAAGAAAGAAAAAAATAAAATAAAACAGGATTGATGGAAGCGTACCTGGGGAATGCAAGAGACCGCTGGAAAATAATCATGGCAGCACACACGCGGAAACGGGAAGGTCACGTCAGCAGCCTGGATTTGATTTTGCTTTTTGGGCCAGGTTTGATTATTTGACCCATCTCGAAGCTACTAATGGCCCCAATAATCAAGGGGGCTAATGTTGAGGCCCAAAAATCCAAAGGGCTAAGCCCAAATTAACCCTTAGCCCAATATGGGTGATTGGATGCAAAATAAGCTCAATCGGGATAAAAGAAAATTTATAAGAGCCGCCAACACAAGCTACAAACCACAAATCATGCTAAACAAGCACGTGCAGAAGGAGCCAAGAACATACCGATATTACTAAATCACGCTCACATGCTCATTCGGTGCTACTTGGCCCAACTATAGCCTATCATGGCATAATAAAACCCCAAGCACGAGTATAGAAATCATGCGCATTCTAATACCGAGCTACGTCACGAGCTTAAGTGGGCCCAAGCCACAAAATTAACCGGGGCTTACTGAGAAGGTTGTGGTATGGAAGGAAACAAGCAATCACAGGGCCCATTGAGGGTTCAAGGAACGTAGGTTTCAAAGCCACTTGGGGGCTTTGGAACTCAAGCCCGTTCCTAGAACCCAAGCATATGGGTTAGCATGAAAGAGAAGAGAAAAAAATTGCCCCATGCTCTAGGAAGACACCAAAAACCCACCAACATGCTTAGCCCAACCCACATCAATAGAGTTAAAAGCCCTTTCCAGCAGTTTGACAAAAATTCACTAGAAATAATAGGCCAGCAGCCCAAAAGTCACGCACAAAGCCCAGTCCAGCAGCTTATACAAAAGCTGTCATCGTGTTCCACCCCTGATAAGACTCCAAGCAAGTCAGACAAAGGGTCAAGGCAAGAGTCAGCAGAAATTCATGGGTAAAGGGCAAATATCCATCAGACAAAAGGCTCCACCCATCTCCTTCCCCATTACAAGCTCTGTTTTGAAAACACTGCGAGAAAGCAAAGTGGCGCCTCACCGTTGTGGGGAGTTCCAGCTGCGTCAAACTCGTTGGAACCACAATGGTTCCTTTCCCATATGCCTTGATAAGAGAATTGCACGAAAATAGGACTAAGTAGGAGCTGCCAAGAGAAAAGGAAGTGGAAGACCAGACAAAATTAGGGCTCTTAACGCCTATAAAAGGAGGCTTTTGCTACCCAGAAAATCCATCCAGAGCCTGACCAAGCTTTGTAAAGCAATCTGGAATTTACTCAAGCCACCCAATCCTCTTTCTCCGTTGTTTTCTTCTTTCCCTGAGATAAAACCTTGCTAAGTTTTCCTTCGTTCTCAGTTTAGATTTTATCCTCTGTAAGAAATTCATGTTGTTCTCTCTCTCTCAAACTGCTAAACTCGTGAAAGCTTAGCTCCCATGCCACATGCTCCTCAGGCTAAGTCATTGTGAAATCATCACGCTTATTTGGGTGTTAGTAAAGTGATCCTGAGAGTGTTCTTTTAAAATCCCATCAGATTTTCTAAAAACTCTCTTGGGAGCTTGGTTTCGAACTCAGGCATTTGGGGGATTTCACTCGTTTTCTTCTTACAGCAACCCAGGCCCATTCGTCAGGCTACTGGAACAAAAAACCCCCTACAAGCCTTTTTCTATTGAAGAAGAAAAACAAAACCAGACCTTGTTGTTGTTGTTGGGTAAGGCCTTTGCTGAACAAGAAAAGTAAAAACAAGATATTTGTATTTTTGATTCAGAAATGTGTTTGATATCAGCACATTAGTGCAGAGATTGCTGCGAGAACACCGAGCCCTCTCAATCCAAAATTCTAATTCCTAGTTGATTAATTAGTAATTACATTTGAACAGTGGATGGTAGTAAGGGTTTAAGGCTTCTAAACTTGGATTGGATGATCGTCTTCCATAGAAGGTAAGGCTTTTTCTTCACTACGCTGTTTTATTTTTATTTTTAAACTCTGGTCCAAAACGACGTCGTTTTGGCCAGAGCTTTTAAAAAAAAATTAGATCGTGTTGTGCGTTGTTGGCGCAGCAAACTGAGAAAACATCTTTGAGGCATTAGGACAAGCACATGGCGGGCACACCAGCAGAGGGGCCGTTTCCAGCTTCTTCCATGGCTTTTCCGGGAAGGGGAGGTGCAGCTGCACCTCCTTGCGCCTCTGTGGATCCGCCACTGCTAGTAAGTAACAAAAAACCTAACTAGGTAAGGAATCAAAATCCTAACTAAGGACTCGCCAACACTCCCCCTCAAGTTGAGGCAAAGATGTTTCGCATGCCCAACTTGACAAGCTAATCATAGAACACCATACTCGACATTGAAAAATCGACCAACTTGTAGAGAAGGGTCAATCACGAGTGAAACAACTGACAAACCAAAGCAAAGTTCGCAATAGAAATACAAGAGCAAACCCTAAAAATAGGGCACATAGCAAAACATAGAAACCTTGTGAGCACGGCAGAGTAGAAAAACCCTATGAGCACGACAGTAAGTAAGTATTAAACATATTCAACAAACTAGGTTCCATATAGCATAATCAATTTTCCACTTTCCAAATTGTGGATCTTCGAAATCTGGGGTAGGGCTTGTCAATGGGCCAGGCTGGGTTTTTTTAGAAAATTCAAAGCCCAAGCCCGACCCATGAGCCGGGCTTGAGAAAGCCCATCGGGCCGGGTCGGGCCGAAATGGGCCTACTTCATTTGAAAAAAATCATAAACTTAATCATAAGGGCATTTTAGTCCAAATTTGAGATTAAACTCACTTAATTCCAATATTTTCACATCAAACCAAATTCATAAAACACCCAATAAAGTCACGCAACTTAATAAGATTTTCCACAAAAATAATAAAACCAAGTATTATTTTTTAGGTTATTACATAATTAGACCGTAATACGTTTTAAGAAATAATTTTAAAAAATAATAAGTATCAAATTTTTATTTATTTAAAGGATGGTATGAATAAATATGCAAATATTTGGTGATGTGTTCAAGAAAAGCATTATTATATTTGGTGGTACGATTATGTTTCGTGATATGATTATATTTGGTGATATGATATGTTGTTCATCTTATTTTTATATATATAATTGTTGTATTAATAATTGACACAAATTAATGTGCTAATCATCCAATTATAAACTAAGAATGAGTAAATAAAAGTAAATGAAATGAACCAAATTATATATGTGATTGAAGTGATATAATCCTTATCATAAACTCTTATTGATACATAATTATATATGTATGTGGGCCTAACGGGCCGGGCTTTTGTGGGCGGGCTAGGCTGGGCTTTCTTGGGCTTAACCGGGCCGGGCTTATGGGCTGGGCCGGGCTTCAGACACCCAAGCCCAAGCCTAGCCCAGCCCAGAGCAGGCCGGGCCATCTCAAAGCCCATAACAGGCTGGGCTGGGCTTTTTTTCAATGGACCAGGCGGCCCCCATTGGCCCATGAGCCCACAGGCCAAATGATGAGGCCTAATCTGGGGCATCAGAGACACTAGTTAGGTAACGTAATTTTCCTTGTGAAGTAGCGTAGAGTTCGATCATCAAAGCCCAAATCACATGGTTGGATCCATTCAATTTGAATCCCAAGGGTAGGTTGGTGGACGATTCAGTATGAACCATCACAATAAGGGTAGGAGAAGCAATAGGTGAAGTAGAACTAGAAGCAGGTGAAGAAATAAAGGCATCAACATTCGTCATGATGATGAATGGCGGGATGGCACCAACGACGGTAGTATCAAGGTGGGGGCGGGGGCTGGGGGGGGGGGGGGGGGGGGGGGGGGGGGGGGGGGGGGGGGGGGGGGGGGTGGGGTGGTTTAGGGTGAACGAATGATTGAAACACAGCAATGACAAAAAAGAACACAAAAACATATCATAAGAGAATCTGGGCTCTTATACCATGTCAAACAAAGCAGGGCAAATATTCAGTTATGCTCATATTTGTCAAATATGCTCATATTTGTCAAATATGCTCATATTTTTATTCTTCTCCAATATGGAGGTATTTATAAAGAAGTACAAAGATGTATATTAACCCTAAATAACATAAGAAATAAATCCAAACTACTCTAGGAAATAAATATCAACTACAATAAGACTAAATAAACTGGTAAGTAACAAAAAACCTAACTAAATAAGGAACCAAAATCCTAACTAAGTAAGTACTTGCCAACATATATAAGTTCATAAGTATTTTAAAAAAATATATAGGTTATGTGTTTTGTTAGAGATATTAAATTTGTGGACTAAATTTGAGTCCTAAATATAAGAAAATATGGTGAATGTTTTTTGTATTCAACATTGTACAAAGTGTACAAATATATAACAATCCTAAAGATTTACAATAAGGAAATAATCTCTAAATCGTATGTCTAAGGCAATTACATAAAAAAGGAAAAGAAGTGACGTCCAAGTAAATCAGCTATATAAGGTAACCTTCAATCAAAAGTCATCCTCCAATTAAGGCTTGATTTCTAACACTCCACTTCAAGTTGGACCATGTATGTCCAAAAGATTCATCTTGCTCTTTAATCGTAGGAAAGCTTCCTGGCCCAATGCCTTGGTAAATATATCTCCAATTTATTCTTTGAAATGAATGAATGCAGTATGTAATGAACCGTCTTGAATTCTTTCACGAACAATATGGCAATCAATTTCAATATGTTTGGTTCGCTCATGATAAACTGGATTTGCTGCTATGTATATGGCAGCCTTATTGCTGCAACGGAGTATGCTAGGAAGAGAATGTGATATACCAAAATCTTGTAAAAGATTTCTTAACCATTGTAGCTCATAAGTAGCAACTTCCATAGCCCTATACTCGACTTCTGAAGAAGATCTAGAGATAGTAGGCTTTTTTTGGTTTTCCATGAAATTAGACTTGTTCCGAGAAACACACAATAACCAGTGGTTGATCTTCTTGTCATAGGACAACTTGCCCAATCTAAATCACAGAAATCTCATAGTGTTAATTCATTATGAGATGATAATAGAATACCTTGACCAGGTGATCCCTTCAAGTAATGAACTAAACGTGTGGCAGCTTTCATGTGTGGTTGGCATGGTTGATGCATGAATTGGCTAAGGATATTAATTGCAAAAAGAATACCATGTCTTGTAACCGTTAAATAAATAAGTCTTCCAATCAATCGGTGATATGAAGTCGGGTTATTGAGAAGGTTTCCATCAGTATTGTTTGACCTCAAATTTTCTTCCATGGGAAAAGTCTCAGGTTTAGCTCCCAATAAACATGTGTCTTTGATAATATCCAAAGCATATTCACATTGATTCAAACAAATGCCTTTCTTTGATCTTGATACCTCGATACCAAGAAAATATTTGAGATTACCCAAGTCTTTTAGCTTGAAGCGTTTATGTAGGGAGCTCTTAAGCTTGGAAATCTCATTTGCATCTAAACCTGTAATTATTACATCATCGACATACACTAATATAAACATTTAAGAGGTACCTTTGTGTTTATAAAACAGAGAGTAGTCGGCTTTGGATTGAATATAACCAGCATCAAGAATGGCTTGTGAAAATTTAGCAAACCATTGCCTAGAAGCCTGCTTGTGTCCGTATAACAATTTATGCAATTTGCAAACAAAGTTCTCCCCTTTACGGACATAACCAAGCGGAGGTAGCATATAGACTTCTTCAAGTAACCTTTAGCAACGAGAAGTGCCTTGAAATGCTCGATAGAACCATTTGAATTCCGTTTGACTTTGTATACCCATTTACAACCAATAGGGCATTTGTTGGCAGGGAGGGGAACAAGTGACCATGTTAAATTCGACTCAAGGGCGCTGACACGCATTGCATCACACCAGTGAGGAATAAGGGAAGCCTGTGAATAGGAAGTGGGTTCCTCGATAGTAGATATAGAAGCTAAAAAAAAACATTGTGAGGGGTAGAAATATTTGAATAAGTGAGATGATGAAAGAGAGGGTAACAACTACCTTTTTTAACTTGAAAAGAAGATGGACTGACATGGGCATTGTAACAGTTGAGGAGCTTGATAGATGGTCAGAAAATGGGTGGTGCAAGATGAGCTTCGGGAGAGGACAGTGAAGTAGTGGAAGGTGTAGGAGAAGGTTCAACGGTGGAAGTAGTAGGAGAGGTAGACAATGATGGTCTTATATGTGGTGGAGTGGAAGGCATTTCAGTTTCTGAGATGGAGGAATGAGCTTATATATGTTGAGGAATAGGAGTGGATGGTGGAGATATAGTGGTGACATTGGGTTGTGTTTCAATAGGTGTATAATTGGGTGCAGCGGAAGAAAAAACTGGAGTGTGATCAATGTCATGTATATCTATTGGCAGTGTGGGCATATTTGGAGGTTGAGAAAAAGTTTGATCATGTGAAGAAGGTTTTGTTTTATAAGGAAAATGATTTTCAAATAACTAGACATCTCGACTAATGAAAATTGTCTTTGAGGAATAATCATAAACTTTGTTACCATTTTTATTATGGGGATAACCAATAAAAATACCGGGTGTGGCTCGCTTGTCAAATATGTGTATGAGACATTGTTGGCAAAGCAAGACAACCAAAAACTTTTAAGTGTGTATATGTTGGTGTCTTACCAAATAAAATCTCATACGGTATTTTACCTTTTAAAACCTTACTTGGTAAGCGATTGATGAGATTGGTGGCTGTCAAGATGCATTCTCCCCAAACTTGTAGAGGAAGATGTGACTGAAAACGGATTGATCGTGCCATATTAAGAAGGTGACGATATGTTTTCACTCAACAACAACATTTTGTTGTGGTGTGCCAATGCAAGTGCATTGATGTTGCACTCCCAAAGAAGAAATTAACATTGAGAAATTCTAACCCATTATCAATCCTAATTTTGCACATGGAAGAATGAAATTGTAATTTTAACATGGCAAAGAAATGTTGTATGAGTTTGGAAGCTTCAGATTTAAAATGCATGTGATATGTCCATGTACAACGAGAATGGTCATCAACAATGGTTAAAAAATACTTAGTGTCAGTAAGCAATGAAATTGTAAAGAGACCCCAAATGTCACAATGTATTAAATCAAAACATTTTGAACTTGAAATAGTATTTAAAGGGAAAGGAGTTCTAGCATGCTTTGCTAATGGACAAATCAAGTAATTATCCTTATTAGAACAAGAAATATAATATGAAATTTACAAAATATTGGATTGAACTATATGAGAAAGATGACCTAAATGACAATGCCAGAGATTGAAAGTTGGAGATGTTACAATGGTGACCATGGGAGCAAGTGTTGAATCCAAATAGTAGAGACCACCATGTACACTACCTTTGCCAATCCTCTTCTTTGTAACTAGGTCCTGAAAAATGCATTCATTAGAGTAAAAGGTAATGGAACAATTTAATGACTTCGTAATTTTGTGAACATACATTAAATTGAACTGAAAAGAAGGCACAAGGAGTACATCTTGCAAGGGTAATGTGGGGGATGGATTTGATTGGCCTATATGTGTGATAGATGCAGTTCAGCTAGTAGGTAACTTAACTGGTGCACAAGTAACAGATGTTTTGGTGTGAAGCAATTTGGAATTTGATGTCATATGATCAGTGGCCTCTGAGTCAATTTTCCATGTAGATGAATAAAAAACAGAACTAAACCCACATGAAATACCTATAAAATTATTAAACAAATGACTACTATTACCATTGGAAACCATGGAAATAAATTGTTGATATTCCTCTGGGGGTGAGGGTTACGCCTGTGTTGGCTAGTGTATGGCTGCTTTCTTTAGTATTCATGATGAAGGTTGAAGAAAACATAAAAGGGGATCGGATGTTTTGCTCTAATACCATATAAGAAAATATGGTGAATGCTTTCTGTATTCAACATTGTACAAAGTGTAAAAATATATAACGATCCTATAGATTTAAAATGAGGAAATAATCTCTAAATCCTATGTCTAAGGCAATTACATCAAATATAAAAAATAATAATAATAATAATAAAAAAGTGATGTCCAAGTAAATTTGCTATACAAGGTTACCTTCAATCAAAAGTCATCCTCCAATTAAGGCTTGATTTCTAACACTAAATGATATTTAGTATTTGTGACATAATTAATTTTCTTTTATCTAATTGCCATGTGTACATTCAAAAAAATATAGCCATTGTCACCCTAGTGCATTATTAGTACCACCATAGCACTGCTAGCACCAAGCATTAGGGAGACGTAAAACCTTAATTGATTTTAATAATAGTATATCGATCATATTTTAATAATAGTTGGGATGGTTTTGTGCATCCACTCCCTTCCTTTATTTCATCACCTTCAACCTTAATTGATTTTAATAATAGTATCGATCATATTAATATAAATTTGTTGTACTATGACCAACCCTCTCATTAGGGAACATGAATTCCTTTCATATCCTATGAATTTGCTGTTCTAATTAATTACAGGAGATGATCCGTAAATTACACAACATCAAATATTTATGTTTATGAATTCATGGTTACTATGGCAGAGTACTAGTGGTGCAGCGTCGATGATTTATGTGGAGGATATTGTGGGAGTCAATATTTCAGAATCTAAATTAATTTGATTACTAAAATACCCTACGCATATAAATATATATTTTCCAGTACATCACATATAATTTGAAAAGGTCAATAATTTTCTTTTATCTCCATGTTCCTTTAGTTTGTACGACTAACCAAATTCAAATAACATTTGAACGAAATCAAATAATAATAACCTAAGCATAATCTTCATACGATTAAATACATAATCTCCATACTACCAAAAAAATGTACAAAAGTCATTCACCCATTACTCATAAATCACAATCACTGTAAGCCATGCTCCAAAAGATTAAATACATAAACTTTTTTTCTTCATTAGTCATGATAAAGAAGACCCTCAACAAATTGTGTTATTTGGCTAAAACGTTGGTGATACGAAATACTTGCAAAGAAGATAGGAATTCTATTTTACTCAGTTCACCACCATGTTTAGCTCTTGCATACCAGCAAGATCCTCATATGTTGAAAGAACATTAACCGAGTGTGCAAGCTGAGGTGACATTCCTGCTACGACTTCAGCCATAAGTCCAAATTTGTAGACATATCATCCAAAGCATTTACCTTCCTATGAGGATGATTTGGACCACTTGTTACATCTTGTGTGGGTCTCTTCTATTAGGCACATTGTTGGGCACTTGAGGGTTAAGGATTTGGTTGTGTAAAGGTTGTCACATCATCTTCCAAATCCTCAACATCCTCAAACTAAGATCCCTCATATTCTGAACCCCATATTGTGACCAGTGGCGAAGCCAATGCATGCCCAGGGAGGGCATGTGTCCCTCCTCAAATATTGTTGTATGGATATTTAGTTATAGTAATATTATACAAATATTATGAAATTCCTCTTAAATTCTTAATTATTCCATTTTTTCTTTGTTTTTTCTTTTATTTTCAAGTCTAAATTTCTTTTGAGTTGCATATATTTTATTATTATGAATGAAAGTTAGGTTATTTATACAAAAAGTAACAATAGAGAAAGTAAAAAGAGTCTGAATTTTTAAATGTGCCCCCTCTCACTTAAATTTCTAGCTCCGCCACTGTCCTTGGGGACTCTGATGATGAAGATACGATAGGTGTGTTGTTTATTAACTCATTTGATTTTACTCCAACTATTAAGTTTCATCTAATTTGTTGGGATTTTATGTTATTTTGCATTTTCATTGTCAGACAAAGAAGAAGAGAAACATTATGATCAAACAATTGCAGCCACGACAGGCAGCAACAACACTGTCAGCCTCCGTGGTTGAAAGGTGATCATCACCGCTGTTGTGAAATTATTACAAGTGCACAATCTATACGAGTAATATAGAAATAAGTAGAGTGTCGTTCTCACGAAGACTATAATTTCCTATTAACTACCAATTATGATTAATTCAGAAGTTTATTTGAACAGTTGATTAAGAAGATTGATTGATTTAAGAAAACTAAAACAATTATGAAAAATAACAATTTAATTAACGATAGAAAATTAAGATGATGAGACACTAGAACATCCGATTTCACCATAACCAATTCTACTTAATTCCTATAGCCAGTTAACCCTAATTACTATCCATGTTGACGGTTGGTTTCTCCTAATTCATTCGATATCCCCTCCCGGGCTCAACCAAAAGTATTCTCAATTAACAACCCATTCTCTCTCGATCAACGGATTTAGAAAACCAAGAACCCATTAAGTTCTATGAGGACCTATAAGAAAACTGCACGAGTCATGTTCGTCCCTCTTAGGCACTCATTCAAATCATGGTATTTGTTACAAGAAGCAAACACCAAACATCTCCTCTCGGTCTCCGCTTGGATCATCAATTAAATATTAGCTAGATATTTAAATCATTAAGAATAGTAACAAATACTCAACATGGGATAATAATCAGAAATTAATATAACTATAAAAATTAAGTATTCATGGTTAGGCTACATCATAGCCCTAGCAAGGGAAATTAGTTCATGACAGAGGAAAATATAAACAAGAGAATTATTGTCCTAAAACCAATTTGACCGATGGACTTGATCTTCAGAATTTCCACAGGAACACCTTCGAAAGCTCCTCGAATAATGCAATAGCAAATTCTTGGCTCTCTCTGATATTTCTCTGGTTATATGAAAGTTGGTGGAAAAATATGGTAGAGAAGATGATGGTGGAAAAAAGATTATTTGGCTATTAGGTTAAAGCTTTGTATTTATAGGCGAAGGGACTCCTTAAAAAATAAGGAATATAATATTTATTTAGGAAGGAAAGGAAAAATAGGAGTATTAGAAAAACCA